GGGGTTTAGGATTTAGGGTTGAAGGGATCCGAGTTGTTGGGGTTCAGAGTTCAAGGCTCAGGGGCTTTGAAAGTCCCAAGGGTTCGGGTGGAGGGTTTAGTGCATCAGGGCTAGCCCCTCTACATGTGCACTCACTCTATCGTAGACACCCTTGTGAGGCATCCTCGATGTTACACTCCACAGTTGGTTGCTGATTTCCTGCTCCATGCATAAACGCCCGAATGCCTAAGGGCGACATCATACTCAGAAAATTCGGGACACCTTTGTCGGCATCCTCGTAATAAGGATGATCCTTTCACCAGGACTCCAAGAAGTTCGAAACTTTATCGGTTGCAGGCCGCACGCGAGACGCAGGATGCAAGAGACAGAGAGAGAAACAAACAACAAAAAGAGCGCCATCTCCTTTTGACCGCTGCAGATCCTTGAGCTTCAGCTTAAACCTCCTAAGTGGCATTGGCCGCGGCCAAAAACTTAGCTGCACGTGGGTGTTTGTTGACAGGCTCGGCCTGCATTAAGGCAGCAAGGGCCTGCATGGCACCTTTTTCCTGCCGCTTGGCCGACTCATGCAGTAATGCGACAGCTGCTGCCGCAAAGCGGCCGAGCTGTCCGGCACATAGGCCCAAAATGGCCACGCTTCGACTTCTTTCAGACATACTCAGCTCGTGACCCTGTCTGGTTCCACCCAAGGCAGTCAGCAGACCTTTCGCTACCAGCCGCCGTATCTGGAAGCCACGTTCCGTAAGTTTTTTGAGGAATTCAGTGGCCCCTGTCCGCACGCCTGATTCATCACAGTGGAGACAATCCAAAATATTGCCAACCAGCCCCACCATGGCTTTTGGATTGTTGCGCGTGTATGTGCCAGCAAAGCGGACGCAAGCCGTCAAAGACCGGACTGCTGAGTGCGCTGCGTGCTCACCCCGCAAAAGTGGCAGCCCAAACCGTTGTCGGAAGGAGAGCAGAAGGGCGGCCGTTGTGCAGGCTTGCAGAGAGCGGACAGCACAATCAGCCAAGTCAGTGGAAGCACGCCGGCACAATAGAGTGCAAGAAAACGTGCCTGAATATTCAATTACTTTGTCCAGGATGACCAACGGCAATGAGAAAAAATCAATCTTAATCTTGGCTCTGTCAACCGGCTGTTCTGATGGAATGGAGCACGAATCCTCTGGGTAAACATCCCTTTGCAAAGTAGGCTCTTCGCAGCCATGGCAGTGTTCTTGCAAGCGATCAAGACGCGCTTGCAAGGCACTCTTCTGCCAATAGTTTGGTGGGAATTGCCGACTATGGCCCCCTACCATCATTATCTGTGCCCAGACGACTGGCCCAGAACGCTCCATGTGGCGTTTGAGTTTCCAGCCCTGCGTGTAGAAAGAAAGACCCGAGACGTAAACGTAGCAAGCCATCTCGTTTCTGTTACGACATGGCCAGTGATGATTTTCCCAAGCATCCACCCGGATCACACGCGCATCAAGGACTGAGCCGTCTAATTCGCGGACAGCAGAGGCCGCGTCGCGAGATGAAGCAAATTGGACGCAAGCTTTGCCAAGCGAAAGCCAGTGAAAGGGAACAGGAGACCACCAGGCCATGGGTCAATTTATCCCTGGGACTGAGTGGGCTGATCCTGGGCAGAATTTGCAAGTCTGTTCCTTGGTACTCGGGTGCATAGACTACGCAACGCTGTGGTGTTCGCTGCTATACTAGGGTCGACCGTACTCGTTCAGCGAGAGGCATGTGGGCAGACTGCATGCCTACGCTGTGGCCATAGTTCTGTGTGGACAATGCATTCCAAGCACACTGGGTTCCAAGCATATAAAGAATGTCGAGCCCTGAGCTACGCCACACTGAATATGGACCCTGAAACCGTAGACGCCGCAGACCACTGACTGCTGCAGTGCTACAGAAGGACTACAACCAAGACAAGAACAGACAGCACAAAGAAACCAGCATCATTGTCACCATCCGTCTCAAATAGAGCGCCGCTTGCCGACCCCTGGAGCTTTCTTTCTGGATCTTCGCTCG